GTAAAGAGTTGAGTCGTGTGTCTATGTGCATATAAACATTTAAACAGGTGTGTGCACACATGTATAAACACATACACATTTATACGTATGTATAGATTTGTAGATGCAAATGTATGTGTATGCTTACACATGTAACGGTATGTCAATGTACGTTTAGAAAGTGCATGAAAAAAGAGAGATGCACACATGTACACATGCATCTGCGAACGTACATACACGCACGTATAGATTTGCATGTGTGCTGTTGCCCCCGTTTCTCTGTGTCTCTCTCTCTCTCTCTCTCTCTCTCTTTCTCCTCTTTTCTCCTCTTTCGCGCGTACGCTGTGCTCAAATTTGCTCGGCGACTGATGGCTCGCATTAGCCATGCCTCTTCGTGTTTTGTTAGCCCGTTGCAGCACACTGATTGGCATGCCAGAGGACTCCCTCCATGGCCCTTGCCTTGCTAGCTTCTGCCAGGCTCATGCGTCTTCCTGTTGTCCCCAATTATTTCCTCGTGCTGCCCATGGTGCTGTCTCCATGGGTAGTATCGCTCAGCCTGCTGACTGTTGGACTGGCCGCGCGAGCCCTCTCGGCTCAGCCTGTGGCGAGGAAGGGACGATACAGGCTGTGCCTTTCTCCTTGGCCATCCGGGGCTGCTCGCCCGTTGGCCTCTGTAGTTTCGCCCAGGGCGTCGTCAGCCTGGCAGCCAGCACTGCTTGTGCCTGCCTGGCCGTTCCTGGCCTGTCTTGTTTTGTTTCCGTCCTCCCTGGGCATTTTGCAGCTGGGAGGCTCCATTCCCGCACCAGGGTTCCACCTTTAGGGCGCTCCCCTCCTCTCCGTGCTGCACCCAGCTGCCCGCGTTCGGTCGTGTTTCGGTTGTGTGGTCCTGGGTCCTTTTATGGCTTCGTCGTCCTCTTCGTTGTTTGTCGACGTCGTCGGAGACGTCGTCGGTGTCGTCGTAGTCGTCGTAGTCGTCGTCGATATCGTTGTCGCTGTCGTCGTCGGCGTCGGCGTCGCTGCCAAGTGCCATTTGTTACCTACCGTCACGGTCTTGAGAGGTTTTGCACACCAAGCTGCGGGTGGGTGGGTGAGATGTTTGCAAGAGCATGGGATGTGTCAAATCATTGGTAAAACATCGGTCGCACCAGATATATTGCACAACATACATTGCTAAAGACATACTGGTTGGGTTCGCCGCTGGCTAACATATATATATATATATATATATATATGTGCACACACCGCGCTCTCTCTCTCTCTCTTTCTCTCTCTCTCTCTCTCTCTCTCTCTCTCTCTCTCTCTCTCTCCCCCCCTTCCCTCTCCCGTTTCCTTTCTCCATGCTGTTTCACCTCCCGCGCCATATCCTCCCTCTTCTCCGTCCATGTCGCCCTCCTGATGCTTCTTGATCCTCTAGTTTACCGCTCGGAAGTCTTGTGACACATTCACCTCTTGACGTGTTTGTTCCTATTATTGTTATTATGCGTCTTATCAGTAGTCTTAGTATGATTATGCTGATTCGTATTATCCGTAGTAGTAGTAGCAGCAGCAGTAGAAGTAGTAGTAGTAGTAGTAGTAGTAGTAGTAGTAGTAGTAGTAGTAGTAGCATTTGCGTTATCAGCATTATTCCTCCTCCTCTTCATCCTCATCTGTCATATTTCTCCCTTCCATGGTTCCCCTGCCTCCTCCTCCTCCTTCCCCTTCTCCTCCCCTGCGTACCTCTTCCCCCTACGGACCTCCTCTCCGCCTCCCCGCCTCCCCATACACTTGCCCTTCCTCTCCTTCATAATCGTGATCCTCCGCCTCTGGACGCATCATAGGAATCCGGCAAAGTGAACCCTCGATTTCCAAAGAGGCCCGCTTTTTGAATGGGCCCGCTTTTGGCAGAAAACGACCCCTCGTCGACCTTTCGTCGCGTTTTTTGCAGACCGAAATCACGGGAGAGTTGGGTTAGAGTTGGGGTTTGGCGGAGTGTTGCGTCAGCGCGGGCAGCCATGAACCTTACCCGTCGGTATTTAAAAGTAGGCAGTTAGGGATGTCCGAGTCCCAGTCTATTTCAGGCGCCTTCCTACTTCAAGCATCGAGTGGTCTTCCCTTCGCCCTCGTCCTCAGGGGGCTGGCGGAAGCCCCATCTGATTTCAACGCCGTCCTGCTTCATGTTTCTGCCCACTTCTTCCGACCGACGGGTGAACCCCAAACCCCAGAGCGTGAATTACCTACCCCGCTTTCGCTGCCAGGCAAAACCAAGCCATACCACGCGCCTCCTCGTCAAGCGGCCTGACCCGTACAGGCCGCAGTTAGGCATCGTTTGGTATCTCTTGGAAGCGAGGGAGAAGGAGGAGGGAGGAGGAGGGAGGAGGAGGGGAGGAGGAGGGGGGGGAGGAGGAGGAGGAGGAGGAGGAGCAGGAGGAGGAGGAGGCCGCCTCCCGCGCAGGGCCGCGTGCCGCGCCTGCGGCTGCAGCACCACCGGGTGACCGCGAGGGCGGCGGCGACGCCCCTGGCACCCGCGCCGCGAGGCCGGCAGGCGGGCCGCCGCCGCGGCTCCGCGTGCCGTGTCGTCCTCCCGTCCAATCCCTGGCCCTCCCCGCCTCCTCCCCTTGCTCCTTCCTGCCTCCTCCCGCCACCCCCCCGCCCTCCTCGACCTCCTCCTCCTTCCTCCCTCCTACGCCTCCTCCTCCTCCTCCTCCCTCGCCCTCCGCCCTCCTCCTGGTGCCTATCGGCTTCCGCTTCTGCCCTGTCCTCGCCCCACCTCTCTTCTTCCTCACCCCCTCCTCCTCCTTGCTCATCCTCCTCCTCCCCGCCCCCCGCCTCATCCTCCCCTCCTTCCTCCACCATCATCCCCCTCCTCCCTCCTCCTACTGCCTCCTCCTCACACCCTCCTCCTCCTCCTCCTCCCTCAAGCAATTTGGGCTGGAGCACCAAGCCCCTCGCCCCCGTGCGCAGGGCACGTGTTTCGGCCTCTCCTGCACTTCCACGCAGTGCTTGGGGGATTTCGCTCCCTGCTGGGCCCACAGCAGGAGGCGTCAACGAAGACAGGAGATTTCGCGATGGGGGGTGCATCCAAGTACCCCTGGAGCAGGTGCATTCACTGCAAGACATGCGAGTACAATTCCAAGCTGATGGCCAACGACAAGAAGTGCCTGACCTGTGGCAAGCAGGTGAAGCTCTACGACCCGTCCCAGTCTAGAGCGCCGTCCGTTGATAGGCGCGTCTCTTTCGACGGCGACGTGGAGCACATCGACGACCAGGGGAGTGAGGCAGGTACTCCAGGCCAAGGCCCTCGCCATCGCAGCCCAGGGAGGCGGCGCGCCAAGGACCAGGCCACCAAGAACCTCGACGGACTGTTGGCCAAGGCTGCCGAGTGCAGCAACGACCCCGAGCTGAAGGCAGTCCTGACCGAGCAGCGCACGAAGCTGAAGACTCAGGCTGCGGCAGCCGAGTTCTCAGCCGTGGAGTCGGTGAAGCGCGCCGACGGCGCCTGGAGGCAGGCGAGCCATCGGCACGAGCAGATGGTGAGCCAGGTGCTCCGCCTCAGGCGCCAGCTCCTGAGCGCCGAGGCCAAGGAGCAGGAGGCCGCCCTGGCGCTAGCCAAAGCTGAAGCGGATAAGAAGAGTGCTACGCGTGCCCTTGCTCAAGCAGAGGGCGTCAGGGCAGCTGTTGACACGGCTGAGCAGGGCAAGGGCATGCACTTTCGGGTTCACATGAACCCCGAGGTTTTCGACAAGTTTGAGGAGTGGGAGTGCGAGGAGTCGGACAAGATCGCCCTCCGCAATCTCAAGAAGGAGCTGCAGGGTATGCAGGAGTCCTTTGCCGCGAAGGACTCGGAGCTCCAGGCGTTCATGGCCAAGCTGGACTCGGTCAAGAAAGACGTGGAGGAGCGCATGGGCAAAAAGAGGAAGACGCAAGAGGGCCAGGACGCGGCCACACAGGCCAAGGAGCCGACGACGGAGCCTACAGTTGCTGACACAGCGGGGCCTGCCCCAGCCGCTGAGCCACCGTCGGAGGAGATCAGGCGCGAGGCGGCGAGGCTCTCACAGGCCAAGTTCGAGGCGGTCCAGAAGGCGCAGGCCGCAGCGGACCTCAAGGGCAAGAGCGACGGCAAGGGCGCAGGTGCAGCCTCAGCTGCCCCCGCGGGCGGAGGTGCGGCTGCGGATCCTGTGCCCACAGCTGCTGCCGCTGGCGGCCCTGCAGCTGCCAAGAAGGAGTGACTATCCACGGCGGAGCTCACCAGCGCCAGCGCCGCTGTGGGCTCGGACGCCGCCACCACTACAGCGCTTGATACCAGTACATCTACGGCCACACCAAGCGAGGTGGGTGCCACGACTGCTTCAGAGGGCTCGAGCAGTACGGCGCCTACTTCTACCACCTCTACTATTTCGGGGAGCAGTGAGCAGGGTGCGCAGCAGCAGCCAGACCTCACTGCAAAGATTTTCTTCAGTAACGTGACGTGCATGGGCGACAAGGCCTGGGGGCGCTTGACCGAGCTCAGCGACACGCACGACTACCTGGGCGTCTGCGAGACGCATGTTAGCAAGCAAGATACTCGGAAATGGATTGGCAAAGCTAAAAGTTCATCACTGCGCCTGCTCCACAATGGTGCCAGGCCCAAGTCTCGCTATGCCAAGGCTGATCAGCAGCATTCCAATGAAGGCGGTGAGTGGCTGCTGGCACGCAATCATCGGCCTGTTCGCATGCTCGACGCCGCCCTCATGAGTCCCCAACTTCAGGCTGAGCGTGGAGGAGTCCTGGATGGGTTTCTTCCATGCCTTTTAGACATGAAGGGCTTCACGCTCGCTGTGTTCATTTACTACGGTCTCTCCGGCATGGGCTTCACACATCAGAATGTGAATCGTTTCGCCAAGCTAGGCAGCGTGCTGACGGCGATCCATTTGCCGTGGCTAGTTCTGGCTGACTGGAATGTTTCCCCAGCCGACCTTAGAAGGTCGGACTTTCTTTCGCGAGTTGGAGGATCTGTCTGGACCTCCGACGCCGAGTTTACCTGTACACCAGGCGGCAAGCAAAAATCTTCGCACATTGACTTTGTAGTATTCAATGAAGCTGCGAGGCCATATTTGAGATCTGTTTCGGCTGTTGTTGACGTTCCCTGGAGGCCACACATCGGTCTTAGCGTTGAGATAGTCGCCTCAGGCAGTCAGATGCTCACTCGTGTGCTCGCTCTCCCTAAGCAGTTGCCAATTGTAGCTCGGCCTTCCAAGCAGCCGATCCCAGGGTCCAAAGCTAGTAAGGCCAAGGCTCAGCGTAGGGTTGCGCAGCAGGTTGCACGCGAGCGTCGTGATTGTAAAGTGCGTGAGTGGTTTAGTGAGCAGCTCGGACTTTGTAGCAGTAGCAAGGTTGAGCATACTGGTTGTGTTTCGCATGATCCCATCAGTAGAGTAGGCAGCGAGGCGGAAACAGGTTTCGGTGGTGAGGACCCCGACTCCGACAGCAGTGAGGAGGACCCGTGGATCCACGAGGCCAACTTCGGACTGGCTGCCCCGACCGCCCCTGCCTTCCCTGTGGTCGATCAGCCTCAGTCGAATTCAGTCCAGCATGAAACCCCCACCCCGTGCACCGCCCCTGTCGAGTCAGGGTCCGCACCACCAGAGGAGAGTTCAGGGTCCCCCGTTTCTCCAGCTGTGAGTTTCATGATTTCAGAGCAGCTGTGGACTCTTGTTTTTCTCTTTTTATGTCTTTTTACTGTTTGTGTGGTTTTTTCTTTTTTTTTTTTTTTGGTTTTGTTTTTTGTTTGGTTCCGTGAGGGTGTTTATTATTTTTTTCTTTTGTCTATGTATACTTTGTTCTTTTTTGTTATTTTCGTTTGTTTCTGTGTGTGTGGACGGAACAGCGGAAAGATGTAGGGTTTCTGCCTGCGTCTGCCTGCCCTCCTGCTCCTGCTGTTGCCTCCTCCGTAGCCTTTAGGCTCTGCTCCAGCGATTCAGGCCTCGTTTCAGCCCTGTTCGCGGCCTGGTTCCAGGCAGTGGAGTCGACCGTACACTCCCATCACGGTCAGGTCGCCCTCGGCAGATCGCGCGGCGACGCTGTCGAGTTTCTTGAGACAGAAGTTCAGGAGGCTAAACCTGCAAGAGAGGTTGCACTCAGGGATAAGATTGCCAGTTGGTGGACGCGTGTGTCTACTGTGCTTAGTGCGCTGGCGAGATATCGTGATAAGGATACAGGCATCAAGCAGCAGTTCCTCCTGGTGGATGCAGTGGCACGTCTCAGGGAGGAGGCCCCCGAGCGCGGCCACCAGGTGGTTCGTCCAGCTGATCGCTACTCTTGGGACTTTTGGCTGCAGTTTCTCGGTCGTACCGGTGAGAGTTCCTTGGAGGAGCTCAAGATTGTCTCAGAGGCAGCTGACAAGGTCGCTAGACGGGCGCAGCGACGTGCTCTCAGCCAGGCAATGAGTGAGTTCCGCACTTGGGCTGAGACAGCGCCTGCAGTGAGTACCCTGCACAGGGCTCTTCGTGAGCAGCCACTTGTCAGCGACACCTTGGAGGTGGACGGCACATCAGTGGTGCACCCCAAGGACATCATGGATCATAAAAGGAAACACTGGGTCTCTCTTTGGGGCCCGTCTGGCCAGCCGTTGAGCGAGCTACACGGGCTTTTTCAGGAGATTCGGCAACGTGTTGCAGATGAGGCTCTTCCACCTCTTGATGGTGTTACCCTGCGAGAGGCATCTGATCGTATGAAGTGTGGTGCGATGGGGGTAGATCGTCTGACACCGTTGGACACGTCTCGCCTTCCTGGCCCAGCTCTCGATGAGTTGGCAGCACTGCTCAACGTGTGTGAGGCTCGACAAGTATGGCCGCACCAACTCATGCTGACCATCGGCACCCTGCTTCCCAAGAAGCTGAAGGGGGACCGCGTGATAGGGCTGCTTCCTCACCTGGCGCGGCTCTGGTCGGCTGCTCGCGAGGTGCACGTGCGCACCTGGACGGACCAGTGCGAGGCGCACTGGGATGCTGCCATCCGCGGCAACTCGGCGATTCGCGAGGTCTTCTTGCGGGCGATCGACGAGGAGCTGGCAGTGCGGTTGTCTACCGAGTACGGGCACGGCCTCATAGACCTAGCCAGCTTTTATTTCCTTTTTTTTTTTTTTTTTTTGTTTTTTTTTTTTGTTTTTTTTTTCTTTTTTTTTTTTTTTTTTTTTTTTTTTTTTTTGTTTTTGTTTTTTTTTTTTTTTTTTTTTTTTTTGTTTTTTTTTTTTTTTTTTTTTTTTTTTTTTTTTTTTTTTTTTTTTTTTTTTTTTTTTTTTTTTTTTTTTTTTTTACGACACCATCGGGTGGCTGTTGCTTGGTCAGACGGCGCTCAAGCTCAATTTCCCCGCGGAGATTCTGGGGCTGGAGCTGCTGCAGTGCATGGCCTCGCGTTGTGTGCGCCAGGCAGGCGCGTACTCAGCTCCCTTCGACCCCACGAGATCGATCGTCCAGGGTCTCAGAGCTGGGACGCGCTTTGCCAAGTGCGTCACGTACCACATCATGGCTCGGATCACGACGGTGCACGTGGACATGGCGCATAGGC